ACTTATCGCGGATGACAAGCGGCGGATGGGAACCCGCGCCTCTGCCTACGAGCAACGCGTCGGATCTCGTTTCGTTGGAGCGATAAAACGCGAAGTGAGCCGGGCAACGGTATCGAGGAGAAACGCGTTCGCCAGGTTACACGTCTCTTGCGTCCGTTATCGAACGACCAAACTCGAGCTTCTCCTCTTCTCCGCCCCCTTTGCGCCGTCGTCCTAACCCACCGACGACCGCGACTTACATCGCAGCTAACGACTGTTTGAATATGTCAGAATACGCGGCTCAGATAACGGCGAACTTCGCGGGCAAACTTCGCGCGGATTGCCGTAACGCTGAAACGTTCGCAGAGCCAGAAGATCGTTAGCGATGCTCGACGAAAACCGAGAATTATAGGGGCTGCGACGATTTATCGCGCGATCTGTCCGCTGGACCCGGTACCAGGTGATTGAGAATTAAATAAATTGTGGGGTTTCAATCGTTATTCAATTTTAATTTAATCAAGTGTAACCGACCATCTCTTATGATCGAATAAACGGTAATGTCGACGTCCAGAATCTAATTAACCTTTCCCTGTGTTCGTTACCTTCGCTCAATGATATATTTTACAATTCATTAAAAACTACAAGAAATATTTCGCTACCTCACCTTCTCCTTTTGATTTTGGCACAAATTGAAAACGTATCCCTCCATAAATGAATAAGATGCCGAAGACAGTACCCTCCTGATGAGAAAGCAAGCGAAACTATGCTGCGTTGACAGTTACGTTCTAATATAAAATTGTTGCGCGATTTTATGAAAAACAATGCACGTGGCACGACAAGTTGGCATAATTATTGTCGCATCGCTCGTCGAGCAGCGTGATAAATCGTCGCGTTCTCGGTCCCTATTACGACGACGGATGGCATCAATCACGCAACGCGATTCGAACTCGACGATTCCGCGGGATTTTTAACGAGCTCCTCCCGTCGTCCCGTCGGTTTTTCCCCCTCGTCGTTGACAAGAAAGTTTCGGAGGCAACGGTTCGCGTCAACCGTCCTCGCGAAACTCTTCTCCTTTTTTCATCGTAAATTGATTCACCGTCCAACGCGATCTCCTCCGTTCTTTCTTTCTCTGTGGATAGGTACGCTGCGAACTTTCCCCGTGTTTGAGTTATGCCGTCCCTAAGTTCTCGACGACTACGGCCAACAATTTTCTTTTCGAGTTTTCCGCGCTTCTACGGTCTCGCCGCTCGGCGGAAAATATTTCTCGAAATCGAGAGGCTATATTCCTTCGACGTGGAAGATTTACGCGAGCAACGATCAATTTTCGGATCTCGGTTTGTGTGCTCGAGGAAGCTCAAGGGTTCGATGGGTTATGGCAACGACGTACCTAGTTATCGGGGTAGGTTTCAACCGACATCCATCGACGTAATTCTTTTATTTTATATAGATTGTGTTTGTACTTTCATGCATTTTTCAACCTTTTTAAATTTAACCTCTGTATACGAGACAATCTATAACGTTGAAAACGATATGAAAGAGAATGAGAACAATTTCGTGAAATTTATTTAATCCATTTCTTGATGTTGAAAACCAATCCTCAAAGTATTGGACGATTTCCACGTTTCGATTGAAGCTGGTATCACCGGCTAACAACAAAGTCGATTCGACGTTGACCCGGCGGGGAAATTATTTTCCAGAATAATTGGCGCGAAATTAAAAATGAAATATGATACAAACGGAGATACATCGTAGAAATTAAATTTCAAAGTATCAAATTATTTTTGCTTGCAAATTAATTATTTCAGCGAAATCATTATCGTTATCGTTGCGCTCGGTGCGTTTACCTTTCCTCGTTAAATCTGGAACTATGGGAAAGTGATCAGGTTACGTTCTTAATTATCATCGATGACATTGTATTAATTAGTCAATTAGTCGTAGTCATTTTCGAAATAATCAAAATCTAATTATCTACGCTACGAGGAGAAGCGGTTGAAGAGGAAATGTGAAGTAAAATTGTTAATAATAAAGAGAAAAAAATTAAAATTACCAGCAGAGCGATACGAGTAAATTTTTTCCAAATATAGAAAACCCTTCCTTTCCGCTTTACGGTTAAAATTACAATTTCTATTCGAAGAGAAATCACGCGAGGAATTCTTTATTTTGTACTCGTTTGAAATTTCTGGTCTGATGAGAATTCTCCCCATCTCCGAGCCGAGCAATCGGATCTAGCGTCGTTCCTATCAAACGATGCGAAGCGAAATCTGAGATCCGGAGCTTCGGGCGTTATCAGCGACTCGTTTAGGTCGCAGCGGAACCGAACACTTCTCACGTGCTAATCTGTGGCCTCGGTTCGCGCCGCTGAGAACGAACAATTCGCGAGGAGAACCAAGGCGACGTTAAAAATAAGCGTGACGACCGCCGTGAAAATATTTTTATACTCTGTGTACCTGTAGCCGCCGTTAATGGACGGGCAATTTATCGCGTCGTGGCTCGCCGTAAACTCGGAATCTATAAAAACAGAATAATATTGATCGCGGAGGTGTCGACTAGGCGAAAAGGATTTAATTTACGGCGGCGCGCAGCGATCTATCGCTATGTTTTCCTTTTTCTGTCGGCAACATCATTTGTCGGATCGTTTGTGGGAGTTCCTTCTCCTACAAAAGTCTGGACGTGTCAGAGATGGACGATTCTCTTAACCGAGTATTTCTAATTAGAAATGAAAAGTGAAGTCTTCCGTTAAACGAATCTACCGGTTAAATAGAAATTGTAATTTCAATTTCAGAGGGGATAAAGGGAAATTTGAGTTGGAAATTTTCTTGGAAAATTGATGGTTCGTGAATATTGCGCACGGTTTATAAGACCCTCCAATGTTCGTTCAAAATATAATACATGCAAAATTTTTATTAATTTTATTAGAAGATAAATATTCAATCTTCAGAAATCTATTAACGGCACTATTTTAAATTCCACGATTCACGCGCTGACTTTCTTTGACAAGCATCGCGTCAAGATTTGACAACTTTATTTAAGAACGAATTCTGCCTCCCCTAGACTCGTTGGTAAATTAGTTTCAGCGGTTGTTCTCGCGACGCTCGACGAGTCGATAAACCCGAGGATTTCGTTTATTACGTCGGGCAAATTACCCGCGGTAACTTGCTGTTCAACTTTAAAACGCATCGCGCACCCGCGTCGCGACTCGACGTCACCGCGGTACCACGATTTACCCTCGTAAAGCTGTAACGAGCGCTGTAACTGACATAATTACGGAACGAGGAAGGCGTGATGTTAATACCGATTGTGCGCTGCCTCTGCGAGGCGAATATGCTGCGAGAATATCCTCCTTGCGATTAAACGCGAGTACGTTGCCTCGCGGACGCATTGTACATTCGGACAACCGAGATCTCGGATAACGGATCGACGTAAAAGGAAGGAAAGGCTCGACCCGCGATATCTGTCGACGAGAACGATCGTTTGACCTTCTCCGGCTCGGTACCCGGATGCTTTCAATATAAATTTATATATAATTATTTAAAATTTAAATTTATGCGTCAAACTACGGCTTTCAATCTACGAACGGGCATGCTTGAAACCGTTGAAGGAAAGAGGTCGTCTCGAATTTGTTTGAGGAAGATTTAATGCGGCGAGCAGACGAACTAGTGGCGCCACAGGGAAGCATGCTCTTTGTGCAACAGAAGAAAGAACTTTTGATTCTAAACACTCCTGTACGAGTTTGAAAGTGAATTTCTTTAGAACATGTGTAATAGATTGATGTTTTGCGAGTAAGTCTAGAAATTGCGTATAAGAATGTAGAAAGTGTAATGATGTTTCTAATATAAAGCGCTCCTTTTAATTTTGATTTATTATTATATACCGAATAATGATTCCATACGCTGAATAATCATCTTTTTCGAGAGCCCGGTTTGAATTTCGATTGAAGCTGTAGACTGCACGGAACTCCTCCTTGTACCCGACGCGATCGCATCGCGAGTCGACTAATTGAAACGAGCGTTTAATACACGAGAGTGGAGGGGAAAAATTGAATCTTCGTTTACGTGTGCCAAGCGCCCCGCTTTCACCTAATTTCGCGCGAGCTCGCCAGCCTTCGCTCCATATAGTTTACCTTACAGTCGAGAAAGTAAACGGCCTTAAAACAGCGTCCTGATTGGAGCAAGTCCTTAAAAGGACGTCGCGAGGCACCGGCGCGCTCGAAATGAGACGCATAAATCACAATTTCATTTCGTTTTTTATTTTTTTTTTTTTTTTTTTTTTTGTAAGAGTCGCGATCCTGATCCGTCCGTGAGCCGCGCAATTAATCTCGGCTTATCCGACGTCTCTGAATGACGCGAGCATCGTCCCGCGTGCAACGACGGATTGGATCAACCCTGTAACCAGAGATTGAGAATTCTCACGCGAAATTCTTGTAAACGCCGCCTTGAGCAAACGCGAAAAGTCCGATTGAAATCCGATTGAAACCCTTGCAGGATGAGGGCTTACGATTTTATCCCAGGAATTAGGGTTGAGGGAATCGATGAAAATAAAAATTTGTATTTTTTTGTACGATGTCTTAAGGGTAGCGTCGTCGTTGGATTCGTGGGACACTCCCGAGGGAAATGAGCCCAAACACGACCACATTTGGAGCACTTTCGGTTAGGGGTAGTTGAAGGTTTAGGGATAATCGAAGGGGGTTCAAAGGGGGTCGTGTTTGGATTTGTTTTTCTTGAGACAAGCTCAGCGATCTGTTGGCAAATGCAGGTAAATATTGAGATATAAAGTGGTGGTAGCGGTGATGGTGGCGGGGAGATTAGTGTTCTTTAAAAAGAAATTTCCCCTCTTCTCGACAATTGTTATTAAACCTCTACCCTGTGAAAGGTGACAATGGCGGGGAGAAAGGCGGCGTTTAAAGCAGAAGCGAAATGGAACTCGATCGTCTCGATAACTCGTAAACGGATTTGTCTCGCGGGGCAATATTATCGCCTGGAATATTCACCGTCGTCAAAGCGCATAAATGTTGAAGGACTCACCGATGACGCAACAGAGGATCAACAGCGCAGCCACTCCAGACACTCTCATGGTGGATTTCCTTTCTGGAATACTCGCGACGGAAGTACACCAAAGTGTTTTCCTCTCGTCACGTCATAACAGCTCGTCTCGTGAAACGAACTTCGTGACCTTCTCTACGTGCGTCTTTCAACGTACCGCCATTATATCCCGCCGACGACGAGCTGGTAATTAACGCTCTTTCACACCGGCACTGGAACCGACGGTGTTCGCTAATAACTTCGACGAGTTTTCCTCTCGCACCTTCCCCTCCTTTCTTCCTCACTCCGTTTCACTCACTCACATGCACACACCCACGCATCGATCCCACTGATATCCCACGGGCCTGGACCGACAGGATTGCGATCCTCGCAAATTTTTCTAATCGTAATTCTCTGCTTTATCAATTAGAGAAATCGGTTACGTATCGATCCTCCTTGCTGGCAAAAATTTTCTGATATTTTCTTGCTTCCACGTCGAAAATTGTATTTAATTTTTCTTGCAATTACGCGAACCAGAGCTGAATTACCGGAGCAAGAACGTTTATACTTCTGTATCGTATATTTTTCGTCAAGAGAGACAGGGTGAAAAGCAATTACGCTCACGTGCTCTCCCCCCCTCGGCTGCTTTAAAGTCTCCTCAGCCGCGGTAATTGTTCCAACGCCTTTGGCCGCCTCCAGAACGCGTTAATGACTTATCGCGGTGGCTTTAACGATCGTCCGCTTTCTCGAACGTTTCCCGTGTCGATTTCTATCCAGTAGCTCGCTGTGACCGCGCTCGTGTTCGCGCTGGGTGTTCTTCCTTCGACGTGAAACGCCAACGCCTGCCACCGAGCGGACTTTTTCCCAGCGAACCGTTTCTTCGACGTCAGTCTTTGCTCTGTGTACTCCCACCGGTCCAACGCGATTCCCGGTAATTAATAGACCCTGATGGGATCGATAATCGCTTTTCCAAGCCAGTGCTTTCCTTTAAACTTTTCTGGGATCCTCCGTTCCCCCGCGTCGATTGAAACTTTGTTATCACAGAAATTGCTCGTCCGTGCAGCGACGTAATCTTGAACTCGAATTCGAACTCGAAGTCGATCGCAGCCTCAATTAAACTATTCCTTGGCCGAACTTCTTTCCTTTTTTTCTCTTTTCTTCTTGAAATTGGTTCGAATGTTCCTATGGTCCACGCGTCGCGATACCAAAGGAATTAATTAGTTTAGAATGTGCGAGCCTCGACAAAATCGGCGTGTCCCAATTGAGCACTCGCGGAGTTGGTAGTTAAGAAACTTGCCACTCGATAATTCTCCCTTGGCGGAACCCTGAAATTCGCTCATTGGTTTCCGCGTTTCCTTTTCGGATGGTTTCGGCTCTTCCGCCGATCTTCCTCCGTCTCTGACGGTCCCTTCGCCCTCTCGCCCTAACTATCCAGCGTCGTTACTGCCTAACAGAGTGGGAGTTTGTCAGAAGTGAGCAGAAGATATTAGACGAATGAAAGATTTACTCAGTTATCAAGGGGGATTATCAATTGTTTCGTAATTATTTGCATTTAATAAAAATTGTAATCGTAGAAATGTCTAATAGGATTTCTATCCCATTTCTATTTCATTGTAATGATAGATTTTGATTTGATTTTCTGAATAAATTTGTTCTGTAAATCACATCGAAATACCGCAAATAATTACGTTACGGGCCAATATTTACCATATTGATACACTTCAAACTTGTTGAAATTGGTGATTTCTTATTTGTTATTTATCGAATATAAATAAACAGAGCATCGTCGAATGGAGTAACTCGCAATTTGCAACAGATGGGATTACTCGCCACGCTTTTCGGCTTTTTCAGGTTCGCTGATCAATGTATGCATTTCAATGAGCAGTCATGACGGCCATTTCACTCGTTACATACCGATAACTAGTCGAAATTAATTATAGCTCGCGGAATAAGTAAATTTAATGGATTTTCAATCGATTCGAACGATTAATTTAATTCCGAACATATTTGCGCGAAAGGTTTCGGACCTGAAATTTATGGGTCATTTTCGATGCTCCCGAAATGTCTAAAATCGTCAGACCGAAAATAGTTACGTGGAAAGAGGTTAATGCATAATTGATCGAGTTATTAGAGTTGAAAAACGAATGCGATACGATGGAAAAGCCCAATTGAAAATCAATAAATTGTGTTATTTGGGCAACGAATAAAATACTATCAGCGCGGATAACCTGTAAAATCGTGCGAGGGTTCGCGTGCAATTTGGTAACTCCATTTGACGATATATGTTTGGTTGGGAGGGTACTTGGAATAATTATCTTTCATTCTATCTTTTGATTAAATTATTTTTCTTTCGTTATAACGTATGTTGACATTGCCAGGTGCCTGTTGCTGGTAAAAACGATCGATGGTCTTACGTTACTTGACAAGACCAATGTGATTGAATTTGTTTATCGTTTTCGAAACTTCGTACAACAACCTACAGCTTAAACCATGATCGTTAACCAAACGTTCGTCGAAACCTTAACATTCGAATCTTACTAGTGTCTTCAAACAAAAATATCGAGTAATTGAATACTATCAAATAAAACTTTCCAACAATTCCTATTTCTGCCGACAAAAATTGTCCAACTATTGATAAATAGCTAGAAACACGACTTCTCTTATTTTCCAACAAGAATTCTCTGCTCAAACACTTGTTTTCCTAATGTTTTCCCGAAGAGGAAGTTCCATAAGAAGTTGCAAACGATGGAAAACATCCACGAGCGCGGCGTACACGAGTTTTCTCTCGCATTCCACCGTTACACGAAGCGCAAACGCCTACCTCTTTGCGTTACGTTGATAGATCGTTCCGATAAATTAGTTATCTTAATTGCAATCTGATCGGGCCGTGTTCCGTGAAACCAAACAAAGGTTACAGGCTATTACCGATATTGCCTCGATGCTGGGTCACGTTCTTCCCTTCCCTTATTTGTAGCAAACAAAGTGATCTTATCGATCTGGTTCAGGAGCTTATGATCCGGTAGGCTTCGCGTGGAAAGACTTAAACCTTGCTCTACAAGGCTTACGACGAGACACGGTTTGTCTAATTGTGTGGAGTTGTAGAAATTCGATCGATGGCTATGTATTTCTTTGGAACCCGGGTACTTAACCTTTGGACCGAGGATGACGGGTCGCACGAGACCCTGAAGTAGATTTATCTTTTATCAGAGCCAGAGTGAGTCACTGTTAACCTGCTTTGGCTAACATTAGCTTCGCTGGAATGTATTAGGTTGTCCCGAATGTTTCTTTCGCGAGTTGCACTCAATTATTTTATGTAGTCGTGTTTATATAAATAGACAATCTAATTTCATAGATATTCGTGTTGTAACAGTAATGGAGCAAAATGAAACGTGCGCAATTCAGTAATGCAACATAAAACATAAACTATTGTGCGTGTATTACTTATTAATAAAGCGAAAGAAACCTTTGGGATAGCCTAATAGTTCTCGAATAAAGTAGTACTTCTCGTGCTTTGAAAATGAAAGCACTTTATGTAATCGAGTAGAGAAAGTTCTGTTTAAAAATGCACTAAATTTAATACACGGATTATTGCATTTTCGCAATTATTATTATATACACTTGAAATACTCGATAAAATTTTCTCTGGAACAGCTGAACGAAAATTGATGCTCGGGTCACACATGACCCGTCCTCCGGGCAGGCGCTACAAGTTTTCGCGACGCAAGCGTTAAACGTAATTTTAGATGACGTTTCGAATTCCTTTTCTAAAAAAAACAACCAACGTTCCGAGTAATCGTATAGGTTGGAACGCGTCAACTGTCAGCCGATGCGTTACGTTATCGAAAGAAGAATGCCATTACACTGCAGCGGTCTGTTTTCAATGACGAGGCGTATTGTCGCGTTAGACGACCAGGGACAGCCTTCGACAGTCTCCCACTACCGAGCAATTTAAACGAATTCAAATCGACCTTTTTAATTTCAAGGTACAAGTTACGCTTACGAGCTATAGCTACAACTTCGGAGGCAAGGTACGTAAATGTAGATCATTCGCTCCTGTTAAGGTAGCAATCTGATAATTTTAGATCGAAAACTTTGCGCTATTCGAGTCGACGTCACCGGTCGAGAATAGATTTTAATTTTGCACCATCGAGACCGGAAGTGGTCCTCCGACCACTTAAACGCGGTTCCAGCCAATGCGTACCTTCGAATTCGAGGTTTATCTTCGCTACGCAAACGTGCTTTATCACAGGAAACCGTACACGGCGCCAACGCGAACGCTAGCGTTCGCGTAATAATTCAGGTGCACGCTTAGAACGTGGACATCTTATCGCGTGCTATCTGAAATTAGGTCGCGCGTAGCCAATCTTTACGCGCATCGTTTGAACGCATCCTGGAAAGGGCTTGGCAAAGTCGTTATATCCGAGGAGCAGAAAGACCGTGTTGCTCGTTAACACGGAAGACAAATTTTATTCTCGTTCGAAAAGGTGCTGCGAAAAGAAGTGCTCGAAAAGAAGTTGCTTCTAAGAAAACAGAAAAAAAAAACTTGGTAAGGAAGCCATAAAGAAATCCCATTAAAGAAGAAAAACGTCTATCGCGGTAATAATTATTATATTAACTTTCTTTGAACCTTGCCTATGGACGTGTCTTTCGTGTTCTGGTAGTCATTCTCTATTTTGTGTAGTTGAGCATCAGAGTATTAGATATAGAAATTAATTGGGTCTTTATTTATGACTCTAGTTAAAACAGACATATTTATTTATTCGATATTTGTACTGTTTTTCGTTATAAATAAATAGTAAGTCTGCCTTGGAATTGCGCAGAATTAATGTCTACGCTTAGTATATCAACATATATTTAATTTCAAAAAGAGCTCGCATAGGTTGATACTGTATACCGCTCGCACCACTCGCGTTTCATTAATTTCTGTTTGAAATACATGTAAAATAATATTCTTCCGTGTAGGATCGCGCGTGATATGGAATTTCAAATTTGTTCTGCTTTCGCGCTTAATTTCTTTTTTTTTTTTTCAACCGTCGCGAAATAACATCCATCTACAATCACGAATGCTCGAAGCCGTTTCATTAGGAGATACGGGCTCGAAACGAGCCTTTTCAGTTCGAACAATTGTTTGTTCGCGTGTCGTGTAAGTACCGCGACGTGCGACGAGGCCAGCAGCTTTAACTGCTTTAACACGTCCATTGAGCTCAGCCGGCGAATTAGTATCCGACTGTTAATTCGGCGAAACTGGCATGCGTGGCTCGAATAACGAAACCGTCTGAATAGGCGTGCCCCTTTTATCGGTGCTGTCACCCGCTACATCCGAAACTAACCTATACGAACACCTGTAGGCGCGCACGCAAAGAGTCATTAATCAAGCCGGATGGCCTCTCCAAGCATCGATGCAAATGAATCGCATATGTCCGTGTTCTCTGCCAGGGAGGCTCGTGCCGCGTCGATCCCGACAAAACTGCCATTTCCAGAAGAATATCGATCGTTCCTACACAAAGACGTCTGTCAGACCCGATCGAACGGTTCCTGAAACGTTTGAAAGGACGACAATCGACCCCGCAACGATTCCAAGATGCAAACTATTATGGATGGATAGGAGCGCCGGAAGAGTAAAGCGAGCAACGGGCAACTGTGGCTTTTTCCTTTGAAGAAAAGCTGCGAGAGCCTTTATACTCGTTTTTCTACACTTTTTCGCTTCTATACTAGTTACATAGCGGAACGGTGGGTTTCCCATTTATCAAGGCACGACTGTGCATTCCTAGAAAGATGCATTCTGCACTTGGCAGAAAATCATGTCACAGGCTAATAATAGAGATCGTCAAATTGAGAGAAATATTTGCTTATCTTCGCTTGTAACGAATCTATAACCTGACCTAATTTCTGGATCCTGTATTCACTAAATCATCCTAGAATGGTCTAAATCTCGATTGTAGCTCGACGTAGCTCTACACAAAAATGGCCTGATCTGTTACAATAGCTCGCCAACTGCGGATCTTCGAATCCGGGAGATGATATCAGCGGTTACCATGGTCGAATCGATAGAATCCTGGATCGATCGCCATCTTCGATCACAGTATGAACCCTCCTCGAAGGAGTCCAAGAACGCGAAAACGCGCTCAACAGTTAGGAGATTCGTCGGATTTCACCTGTTTGTCGGTGATACCATTAAGCGGGAGATGGGTAGACGTCCTGCAGGGTCTCCGCGAGATCCGGCTTCGACGTCGTTGCCCCGCGAAGATACTGGTGTACGTGCGACCGTTCAATGTCCCGAGATTACGTTGGTATGTACAATCGCAAAGCCCCCTCCCCAGCTATGTACCAGCGAGAACGACGAGGAAATCGGAGAGTTACAGTTACCTACAAACACCGATACTCAACGCGATCGATCACGATTCCAACCCACCGTTCGACATCAGCCTCGGTCTTCCTCCAGCCACT